AAAAAAAAAAAAAAAAAAAAAAAAAAAAAAAAAAAAAAAAAAAAAAAAGTGGAACACGATTTACACTCACTATAAATATGCGGAGACTTATCAGAAGGAGCATTTTAAAGTTGAAGATCCGAGTGAGCATGGCGACTGCCACCTTAGTAACGGACCACACGACTAGCGAATACACCACCGTTGATGATCCGATTGACAAACAAAAAGTCAAACGATCGGGAGATAATGTGAGCAAACAAGATGTAGAACTCGTAGTCAAGCGCGTCTTCGGACCTTCAACGAGACTAGTTGATCACCACCTAAGATCTTATTCAATGGAAAAAATCGGTTTCATGGGAACTCACCAGCAACTCATTGTTACGGTCGAGCGAGAAAACGGCCACAAGGAGGTATGCACCTTTTTTTTGAAAGGCATACCTTACGAGCTGGAGGAGCAAGCGTCCGTCATCGAGGAGAGCCGAGCCTTCTACAAGGAAGCCCATTTTTACGAGTACATGGTGCCCGAACTGGTAAAAAGCATCAAAGACGCGTCGTGGGTGCCACGGTGCTACCTCATCAAGGACAACGTTCTACTGATGGAGGATCTCAAGTCGATGAACTTCGTCATGAGGGACAAGCCCTTGGACACAGCAACGTTGAAGTCCGCCCTGACGGCGCTGGGGAAGATGCACGCGGCATCGGTGCTGGCCGAGAAACGAATGGGCAAGAGCTTTTTCGAGCTGTACCCGGACGTGTTCACCGAGATGCTTTTCGCGGAGAAGGGCAGGCTGCACAACTTGTGGTTCAAAAACGGGATTCAAGCGGCCGCTACCGTGGCCAAGAGCCTGGGCTTGGACCACACCTGCGTGCCCAAGGTGTGCCAAAAGATTTTCGAGGCTCTAGTGGCTTCGAAAAAGTGGCGGAACGTCGTTTGCCACGGCGACCAGTGGTCCAACAATTTGTTGTTCGACGAGTCCCAGCCCCTTCCGCGTTGCCGGTTGGTAGATTTCCAGACGATACGCTACGTGCCTCCAACCGCGGACTTGGCGCAATTGTTTTACTTGACTATGGAAAAAACGGTTCGCGAGGCAAACGAAGAGGGACTCTTGGGGCACTACCACCAAGTCTTTTGCGCGACACTGATGGCGAACGACGAGGAGGTGAGTAGGCCTTCGTTCGAAGAAATTGTCCGCGAATACGAGGACATGAGGATCTTTGGGGTCGTGTCTTCGGTCGTTTATTGCCCGGTTATACTTTTGGACAGCAGTTTATGCGCGGAATGGACCAAGGATTCGGACAATTACATCAAGTTCATGTTCATGGACCGCTCGGATGTGATTTTGGATTACATGCAACGTAACTCGGTGTACAAAAAAATTGTCTCGGAAAGCATTGGGGAGTTAATTCAAAGGTCGAAAAAGTTGCTGGAACAAAAATTTGTGTAGCTGTATGTGTTTAATGGCAAACTAATCGCTTGCGTTTGCGAAGCATTGTCTTATGCTGTTAAGTTTTGTTAATCGCTGCGCTGTAAAAAAGTATTGAGGAAAAAATTATTTCCTCACAATTATTTGCAAGATAAACAAAATCAACTCCTTGCCATTGAGTATTAAAGAAAACACTGTGAATCTGAATTAAATTTTATTATCAATGTTATTTTGAGTAATTTGGTAAAAACAATATTTAATTAGGAATTACACTTTTCGTATCCCATCATTGTTAAAATTTTATTAATATCTTCGGTTAAAAGTTGCAATTAAAACTAACTGCGCAGGTACTTATAAAATGTTCTTATCAGTTTCCAAATAGATAACGCACAGCAAGGAATATTTTTAGATCTTGAATTAGTTGTAAATAAACAATCGGATAAATTTATGACTAATCTACATATCGACAGATCAAAAAGTGCAGATTAAATTATAGGGTTTTATAAGACCGCTTTTATATAATTTAGTAACATTTTCAAATAAATTTTTATAAACAGTTAGTTAATAAATTTTACAAAAAAAAAAAAGAAAATGTACATACTACAAAACTATGTTTGAGCCATTTCCGAACGATTTTTGTTATTTCTTGTGTTAGGACCACAATGGCAAGCTCAATAAAGTATATTTTAATCACATCTATAAAATTTACATTAAACGTTCTGTCCTCAAACAAAATATAAAAAGTTTCATCCATTTTAAAAAAATTTTTCTGTTAGGACGACAACATGGATTTTCCTTTTTTGCGGCTTTTGAATCTACTTTACCTTACCGATAATCTGCATCACTTACCAGAATAAAATTAATGGCACAAAAAATTGAATTTTTTTTGTGATCAACTACTTTGTCTGTGAACGCGAACGTGGAAAATGTACGCGAAAGAGATTATCGCAAAAAAACTGTTAATTTTTTCTTGGAGTGCTGCAGTAAAAATGATACCAAAATTTTTTTTCTCTGATGAAAACTCCGAATGTTAAGCCATCAGCTTCATCGAGAAGCTTCACGTGACCAACTCGGATCACAATTTTTTTTACACCGAAATTAGACGATTCATAAATGATTACACGTTTTGCTTGAACGACAAATGACGACACTACAAGGTACTCCCATACATTGCTCGTGCCTAAAAGTTCATTCTAATATGAAGAAACGTTTTTATAAATTACCAAGCAAGATCTTTAAATGATAAGCTGTGATTTGAAGGTTTCACATTATCACATGGAAAACTACTGTAAAAAAATTCGTTTGCACTTGTTTTCTGNAAAAAAAAAAAAAAAAAATTGAATCAATAGGAACCTAAATAACGGGTGAATTCGACTTATCGACCGAGTCGTGCGATACAACACTTGATTTCCAAGTTACCGCTTGGTGTTACTCGGTATATTAGCCGTGATTTGCTACTTTATGACGCCTAGGCAACTGAGAATTTTATAATTTTTTTTTGCGACAATATGGTGTGTAAAAGTGTTCGATTCTGAAGCACCATAAGTGACTTTTTTATTAGATTATTCAACATGTAGTAAATAAATGAGGAACTTTATTGCGACTTCTTTCTTTGGCATAGTAATTGATTAATATAATTAGACAAATAAAAGGTATGTTTATATCTTATGAAAATAACAACTATTGTAGACTGCGTTGATAGTGATAATTATTATTAGTAAATTACATTAGAATACAGAAAATTTTTACATAAAAATCATAACGAAAAATAAATCTCTGGATTTGCAACAAAACTGCAAGTTTCAACTTTGTTATATTTTTCATCGAAAACAAAAATTTATTGCGTAAAAGTAACTATATCCTTCAGTGGAAGGCCATTATGAAGAAACGGAGATCTGATAGAAAACCCAGTCCTCGTAAAAAGACGGAATGAACACGCTTTTCTTCGTAAAAGTAACAGACAGTTTGGTCAACTCCTCCTCGTACATCTTCAGCGCTTCCGGTAGAGCGGCGGAATTCCCCTGAAAATTATGGAAAATATAAAAATGAGTTGTTCAATCGTCAATCCGATAATTTTACCATCGCAAACTCACGTGTGTCATGAATTTTCCCGTGGGCTTCAATATTTTTATGGACGATTTCAAGATTAGCCTGATAAAGTCCCACTCGTTTCCGTGTGGCTCTTTGCTGATCGGAATCTCCGTTAGATCGCCAAAAACGTAGTCTACCTTGCGATTCTCTGCCGCCATTTTCTTCAACGTTTCAAAACAATCTCCGATTACGATCTGTAAAATCAAGTCAGTATAATTTACCGCTGACAATTAAGGTAATCGAAAAATAAATTCAAACATCACACCTCATAGTTGTGATCCTTTCTCTTGTCCAAACAGTCTCCACAAACTTTTTTCATGTGCTGACGACAGCCGTTAATCACTTCTTCGTCAAGCTGTTGATAAAAAAAAAAAAAAAAAAAAAATTAGTTCAAAATTAAAAACTTTGTAATTATATTAGTATGTCTCCTTTATTATTTTTTTACTTCGAGCATCGCTACGTGTTTGGGGTTTTCTTTCAGTAATTCGTGTAAAAGGCCACCATCGCCACCTCCCAAGATAACAATTTCTTTACCCTCGTAGGATTCTTTGCCTCGCTGCATGAGAGTTTCGGTGTAAATGAGATCAGCCTCTGACATGTCTAAACATCAAGTTGACTGTTGTAATAATCGATAAAAATATTTTTCTTTTTAAAAAAAATTATGCAATGATTCATAAGTACTCTGATTGTCGTCAAGGACTAACATATTGCCGAGTGACTTGGAGTGGAAGATTTGCACTTTTTGATAAGCCGATTGGACTTCGTAAACTAGTTTGTCAATATCGTACTCGAGTAATCGCTCGTCTGTAATAAAAATGTTAATATTTATTGGCTCTCTTAGCTGTACGATTTTTTAAATTATTTAGAGACAACAAAATTCTTACCAGCTGTTGGAAAGTACCTTTCAAATGGTCCACCGCGTTTCACAGGAACCAAAGTATAAGATCGGATGGACGATGTTGCCTTTCGTAAAACTTTTTCCAAGCTCTGGGCCGTCTATTTTTCAAAAGCATTCGTACGATAGATAAGTATTTTATTTTCGTAGGTCCCCGTAGAAACAAAGTGTGTGACCATTTTGTACCTTGTAATTTAAGAAACCGTCTTCGTCGTCTTTCTTGTAAAACTCAATATTGACAGTGACAGTACCATCTACGTACCCTCGAACTGTAATAATATTACCCTGTGATCCACTGCATAGGATAAAAAAGCCATCCTCTTGGTCAATCTCTTTGATGGTCTCAAAGTTCTCAAAATGTCCTTTGAGTGTCTCGACGAAGTTGTGTTTAAGAAAATGTTTCTTCCCCAAGTCCGTTACATCCGTGGGTGATACCCGAAAGTCCAGAAGTATGGTCTGCACAGTCATGGTTGTGTCTGTAAAACAAAGGTTTACATTCATTACGAGACTTTAGAGCTGCAGGTCTATTTAGAAGGTATATAACAAAGGGCGAGTAATTGCATTTCGGAGGAATGGCAACAAACGGTCTTCTGTCCTCTTTCTCTGCCGAGCTATTATAATCAGATTACGGAGTATTTGCATGTGCTATCGAGAGTTGCGGACACGCACGTGATGTAAAATATACTTATCGTCTGGGACGGAAATACAATCTGTGAGCAAATTGTCGGGTGACCGATAAAAAGTGTAAATACAAATCTTTCGAGTTGACTACTTAAATCGGCACAACAGATAAAAAAGTTGAGTGTTTATTTACGAATGGCAGAATATTGCTCGTAGATTACTGTGGAATCGATTTGTGTTCCGATCAATAGCATTGAAAACTAACGTCTTTATGTTTAACTTATTTATATACGTTTTTCACTATCTACTCAAATCTAATCGCAATGATATCTTATCCGTAATCCATAAGTATATAAGATTTTTACGTATACAACAGTACGAGTTTCGATGTATTTTCAAAATATTTCTCTAACACAATAATTGTAACGAGAAATTGATGCTGAATGATTTCAGAGGAACTTTCAAAAATCAACTGATTATTGAACTGATATTTTTTTTTTTTCTATCAATACAGATAGAATCTGTAGTGTACACAATATTTTAATACATATATTAACTTCAAAATTTGTTTTAATTTGCACTGTTTTCAAAAGATTTTTACAGTTTTACAAGACAAAACTTTTATGAAAATTATGCGGTTTTTAGCGTTAGGTTTTTTTTTCTTTAGTTTATTCGCAAGATAATTTACAACAATAATTAATATTTATATAAACATATTCATCTAATGTAATCACAGATAAACTTGAAATAAGGACTAAAACAATACGTTGTTCCGGTTTGTGATACGCAAAAAAGTGGTCTACTGTAAGGGCTTGTTTGAAAGCAACTGCTCTTTGAAATGAGGCTAGCAACGTGATACCCGGCGGCCTTCGATATTACCTGACTGTTCAGACAATTGACTTTGATGCACAACCACTGGAAACTACGTAGCCTTTCAATTTTTCTTTTTCTTTTTTTATTTTAACTAGTTTGCATTGGTAAATCGTTACTCACGTATTGGGAACAGTTGAAAGTATTGGTATATAAATTCCAATAAAAATTTGTTCTTCTTTTTAAAATAAATTTTTATTTTATCGTGTTCAGGTATAATAGCAGTTAAATCAAACTTTACTTGTTATCAAACACTTTTAAAATTACTTGCATTTAAAAATTTGAAGAAACCACAAGTATTTTAAACATGCGTCGATGAAAAGGAAATCTGCTTTTGCTAAGAACACCACTACTAAGATCAAACTTCACCAGATGTCAGAACGCATGTTTAAAATATCGCACCATACATTGGCTGTATTAAATTTATATTTAAAAGCCAATAAACTTATTTTACCACTGCACTGTAAAAATATGTGTGTTAAAGTACACGTTTGAAGCGTGGAGTTAACATTTTTGTTTTTTTTTAAATGCATTACCGTAGTCTTGATAAACGTTTTAAGAAAAACCAAATTAATGCTTTGTAAACTATTTCGTAAAACCTATTGAACTAAACAATTTATCCGGTTTACTGAAAGTGGTTAAACACTTGATACACCATGGATTGAGGTTGTTCTTCAAATTCTTATTAACACGACAGTTATCCATTGAACAAAAAATCGAAATTTTAACTTTACGCTTTAAACGTGTACTTTAGTATACTTGGATTTACAGTGTACCATCTCCAATAAGGTTTAAAACAATAAGTCATTGGTACTTTATGACCATTGAAAAAAAAAATTACAACACAAAAAAAGTTGCCGTTGCAAATTATAAAGTTTGCTTACCATAGATTTATAAATACGATGTTGAATATTTATAACGATAAAAAGACACAAATCAAAACAAACGATACAAATCATCGAGCGATGAGCTCAAAGCCCTGCATAAAAAAATTCATAGCAGTGTAAATAGTCTTGGTAATTTTTTAAAATTTCCCAGCGAAAGTAAATAGTCATAAAACAATGATTCTATATATCAACAGATTGGTTGTTATCTCATTTACCGTTTCGATAAGAGATTCGTTTGCACTTGTTTTCTGCTAAAAAAAAAAAAAAAAAAAAAAAAAAAAGAAAAAAAAAAAA